GGGGAAATGGGGAAATCATTCCCCAACCTTGAGTCGATGTGGTCATTCCCACCTTGAATAGATTGAGGGATGATCGACTCAAGGTGAGGGACTGATTACCTCATTCTCCTGTTCTTCAATTTTCCCCTTTGTATGGACTGATGAAGCCACTGTGTGGCGAAACGTTTCCTCAATAAAGATACCCAAGAGTTGCACATGTCTAATTCAAGAGCCTCTATTAGCAGTCGTCCGAGCTAGACTGGGGAAAGGGAGTCAAGGGTTCGATTCCCGACATTGGTAGAAATATTGGGCATGTTTCCTTACACCTGCTGTCCCTGTTTACCCAGCAGTAAGGAGATACCTTGTTATTGGACGACTGGTATAGGTTGCATCCTGGGGAGAGGATTAAAGAACCCCAGTAGAAATAAGTCTTAGATGACAGCCAGACATGACTCGGTTATCCTGGGTTACTAACCCTCGAGCAATCCAATTAAAATTTCCTTCACAGTTGCTCTGTCAGCAATGTTGGCCAGTATGAGAACCTTGCAGTCAGCGGGACAACAGTTTACTCAGCACAAGCTGGATGTCGGAGAGGACAGGGATAGTGGTGGTGGTGGTGAGTGTAGGGGTGGTAGTGGTAAGTCGTGGTGAGGGAATGAGTGTGTGACCCGTACTACCAGCATGCCTATCCGCCAGTCCAACTTTTCTGTCCCCCGCCTCCACCGCTGCCTACCTCTGCCCCACCGCCCTCCATTCACGAGAACTCGACTCCAGACTCTGCCGGTGATCAGCCTTCCAAGTAGCCAGGCAAGCGCGCGCGCACACTTGTTACCTTGAGAGTTGGTGGTAAATAAGTCAGCTATTATTTAAAATTATTTATTGGGGGCTATATAAATTTGTAATATATATTTACCTAGAAAATTCATTAATATATTAAAACGCGAGATAATTATTTCACCATATCATAAGCCTTGATACTCCTGCCTTCAAACTGTGCCCTTGACGTAACATGAACGCTCTCACCCTGCCAGGACTACAGTGAAGGCTACGATCAACCAATCTACATGGAGGTGGACCAGTACGGCAGGTCTCCACTAGAGACTTACATACAGCTGGGTGAGGAACAGCATTTCATTCGCCCTTAACTAACATCCTCTATTTCCTCATTGTCTCAGACTTCTTATATAATCATTTTTCTGTGCAATGTTTAATTTAAATCTTCATTTGTTTTCCTTGTTCTATCTTTATCGTCCTTCTGCTGCTTCAACATTCTAACGTTCTTATCCCTCTCAGGTTTCTCTCGTTTTTTTTTCTTTCTTTGTCATTTTGTATTTAGAAGATACTTTTCTTTCTCCTTAAGATAATCCTCACGGGAGATTCCCTGATGTAAGTAGGGGCTCTTGATCTATTAATTAAACTTGATCACCAATCACAAAGCTCAGAGGGAAAATTTTTAGGAATCCACCTTGATAAAAGTCTCAGATTTCAAACACGTGTACACATAATTTCCAAGAAAATCTCCAAGACTGTAGGCATACTATCGAAGATAAGGTACTATGTTCCACAGTCAGCCCTCCTGGCCCTATATCACTCTTGTTTACCCCTATCTCGCCTGTGGAATTTGTGCATGGGGCTCAACAACAATAAACCATCTCAGACCATTAATTACCCAACAAAGGCTGCAGTCAAAATAACAAACTCCCACTACAGCAGCATACTCCACCAATATTCAAAACTCTAAACCTACTCACCATACAAAACATCCATACTTATTATTGTACCTACTACATACATAGTAACACTTAATACGGATATAAACCCTCCCCTCAAACGTCTCCTTACCAACCTCAACAGAACACATGACCATAACACAAGGTGAGATTAAGACACATGTGCAACATCTGGGTATCTTTATTGTAGACGTTTCGCCATCCAGTGGCTTTATCAATACAAATTCTAGGACATAACTTGAAGACAGTAGAACTATGTACAGAAGATGAGGTAATCAGTCCCTCAACCTAGGAGTAGGTGCGAAGAGCACCATAGTCGTGGAGATTCTGAAGCAGAAGAAAGGATCCTGGCGCTTATATAGTAACGTCAGGTGTAGCAGACGAGGGCATATTCACTGGTAGGCGGGATTCCCCAGTGGAAGTAGGTCCTTCCCAAAGGATGGGTTAGTTGTAGTAGTAGTTGTCGTAGTCGTGAAGGTTATGTACATGTCCTCAGAATTAAGATTCCATGATGTTGCAGTGTCTGAGGACATGTACATAACCTTCACGACTACGACAACTACTACTACAACTAACCCATCTCTTTGGGAAGGACCTACTTCCACTGGGAATCCCGCCTACCAGTGAATTTGCCCTCGTCTGCTACACCTGACGTTACTATATAAGCGCCAGGATCCTTTCTTCTGCTTCAGATGCATTCTGCTCTTGACTCTTTGCCTTGGCAGGTCATAGCAGCTCTCCTTACTTACTCTGTCTCCCTACGATCCCCGTTGGGGAGGGGAACCTTTACCAGCGTTGTCTTCACCTTGACTTGCACGATGAGCTACGCAAATCGTGTCAAGATCAAGCCAACAAGTGGTACCGTTGATGATTCAACGAAGATTGCTCTTGCAACTGCTGTTCAAGGAACACTGAAAGTTAAAATTCAACACCATTTTGTCTCTGAAAGAAGCATTCATTGTTGTGTGTCACGATGAATGCTGAAGCAGAGAAGCTACTCACTACAGATGCTACCACTACACTCACTGCTCAAGGGTTTACTGTTATGTCCATCTCCTGCGCTCAAGGCCAGGAAATCAGTATTCCTCAAAAAACTGGACAAGATTCTGACGTCTCTATCACCTGCAGAACTCAAGACATCCATCGAGACTCAAAATACTTGGGCTACTGTTGACAGCATCACAAAAATCCCGAATGCATCGTCCATGCTCAAGGTTACCTTCACCGACGTTAACATGCTGCCACTGCCCTGAACGAAGGTCTTGCTGTTTACTATTACTTCATCAGTCCAACTTACATCGAAGCAGAGAGATATCAGTACATCCAACACTGCTGGAACTGTTATTCTTACCATCACACCACCAAAGCATGTCCAGTAAAAGACAAGAAGTTCTGCACTACATGTGGTAGTGAGGGACACACCTTCAGTTCCTGCACCATTGCTACTCCACCACAACCATCGTGCTTAAACTGTAAAAGTAACGACCACCATACACTGGCAGCAAAATGTCCTACACGTAAGGATATTGTGAAGAAAACACAAGAAGCAGCAAAGAAAAAACCTACTAGCAACACACCAACGTATGCAGCAATTGCAAAGATCCAAGCTAACACTACAAAATTACTTCAAGCTACTACTCAGCCAGCCTCCACCATCATCACTCCTCCAGCTTGTGACGTAACCAAGATCCACTACTGTCTCATATACGCTCACATGCAGAATATGGCTGTACCTGGATCTTTTAACTCTACCATCAACGAGTTATTTGCACTAAATAATATGCCATCATTCATATTCCCAGCATCTCCACCTTCGGCAGAAATACTAAAATTCAC